TGATCAAATTCTATGTCTTCTATGTCAACCTGTCAGAGGCCAGCTTCACCCTGTTCTCTGGCTAAAACAGTAAAATGGGAAATGAATTCCATGCTTTCTTTTTGTACAACAGTCAATACTCTTTCAGAATATGTTTGCTTCTATCTATCCTCCCAGGCCTTGAGGCATTTGTTTTTAACATTTTGTCCAGAGAATGTACAATGGCATCTTAGTTCATGAATACTTTTGTTTGCAAACTCTGCATTCAGTGACAAACATGACCGTAGTCATCGTTCCCACACAAACACAAGCATGGCCATCTTTTCAGAAATCGTATATCAAATTAAGTTTGTGAACCAAGGTACCATTGTAGCTATGTTCAGGAAGGTAGGACCCCAGTAGAGCCTTGGTGGATATTATGAAAGGAAAATCATTCTGATCTTGTTTTTCTTTTCTTTTCTTTCTTTCTCTTTTTTTTGTGGCACTGGGGATTGAAATCACGACTTTGCACTTGCCAGGCAGATCCTTATGCCGCTGAGCTAAATCCCCAGTCCCTGATTTTTTTTTTTATTGGTACTGGGGATCAAACTCACGCCTGCCTGCTTGCAAGGCAGGCGCTTATGCTGCTGAGCTAAATCCCCAGCCCCCAGTCCCTGATCTTGTTTTTAAAAATTACTTTAGATTCACTCTGTAAGTATATAGATTCATCTTTAATGGTAACAAAACAGGGATTATTCTACATACTTTGTTTTGTAACTCACCAGTTTTCCCACTTTTAGCACACCTAACAAAAGCTCAGCTAGGTACTCAGTGATTAAAAAGAAAAATAGCACAAACCGTCTAGGAAGTAGCTCATGGTACAACACTGGCCTAGCATGCGCAAGGCCCAGAGCTCCATCCCTAGCACTCCAAAACGAAGACAAAAGCAAAGAATCAACTGGGGAATACTACAAAGTAACGTGCCAACCTCTATGCCTACCTATGTCTACATTCTTACCAATCCGGATACTAAAACTCAAAGCCTATCTCTATCACCTGACGTGTGAGGCAGGGATTGAGTCCCTCCCTCTCCCACCCCAAACAGAGAATCTCATGTTAGAATCACTAACCACCATTCTACAATATCACCACAGTCTTCATTATGAACTAGTATATAAAATTGCAAAGGAAAAACATCATTAATTTTTCATTTTTTAGCTGAGGATTTAGCTCAGTGGCATAAGCGTCTGCCTTGCAAGTACGTGGTTGTGAGTTCGATCCCTGGTACCGGTAAAAAAAAAAAAATTTTTTTTTCATTTAAAAAAATTTTATTAGTATTACCCATTTCTGTCCAGTAACTTTAGGCAAAACATATTTTTTAAAGAGAAAAATATACATGGAGATAAAAAAGGGTAGAAATAATACAGAATTACAGAAAAATAAACGGTAAGAAATCACCAGTTGATAAGTTACATATTGTCATCTTAGAAATAGCTGTTCAGGTTACAAAATTAAAGTATGTAAAATGACATTCAAATAGTGACACTGTCAACAGTTCTGCTCAATGATCTAACAAAAACTTAGTAATATGGTTCTCAGTCCTACACACTTGTTTTTTATCTTAAAGAGGGTAAGATTAAACATATCAAACCAGAACAAAACAGTTCAAAAAAAATTTGAAGAAATACAGATTTCAAAGCAAGTCCACTGGAGATCTTCAGTGTTTATCTAATTGTCTCTAGTTTCTTCCAAATAGTTGTCCCCATCTTCATGCACATTAAATACTACTGCATATTACAGAACTAATTAAATCATTACAGGATGATGAAGGCTTTTTAGGTCTTCAAGACCTGACATTGGGGAAGACAATAATAACTACCATCGCGTTTCTCATTCTCTTCGTAGTAGCTGTTCTTATCTTTACGTATGCTGGAATTGAACTTAAGAGACTAGATTAATATCACTCTGATCAGTGAATAATAGTATTGCTAGATTTTATATCATAATGCTACAAAATTAGCATTGGGTTTCTTAGTGTCTCTTCTTCTTCAGAGTATCTGTTCATTACATCTTGCATTATATAATGTTCCCGTAAACAGTTTTTAAAAAAATCTTCTCGTGTGAATTTCTACATGTATATCTATCTTCCCTGTATTATAGGGAAAAACAAATCATAACAAGACAGCAAAAAAAAAATTCCTAGAAAAACATGCAATGAAAAAGACACAGATGACCACAATATTACATAATCTACCATAGTTATTATGCTAAGACTTGTCTTTTTGAGACAGGGTTTTTTTATGCAGTTTAGGCTGGCCTTCACTTCACTTTGTAGCCCAGGCTGGCCTCCAACTTGCTGCAATCCTCCTGCCTCAGCCTCCAGGGTACTGGAATTATAGTTATGTGACACCACACCTGGCTAGGCAAAACATAATTATGAAACTATTTTTATTTTAAAGAAGAAATACTATTATTCAGGTATACTCATTTAAAATTAGTAAGTTAGGCATGATGCTGCATGCCTGTAATTCCAGATACTCGGGAAGCTGCAGCTTGTAAACTGAAGGTAAGCCAGGCCAATTTAGTGAGTCCCTACCTTAAAATAAAAAACAAAATAAAAAGGGCTGGAGATGTTCCTCAATGGTACTTGCCCAACATACACAAGGCCCTGGGTTCAATCACTGGCACCATAACAAATAAAAACAAAACTCACTAGAGGTTGATGCATTTAACATTGAACTGAAATGATAAACATTTTAAAACATTTCTGCACAAAGTATGCTGATTTTAAAAGGTTTTCAATTTTTAAACACTCCAGTCTCTAATTATATCAGTCTTCTTTAATTAATCTAAAAATATCTACTAATCATAGAATTTGGTTGTTGACAAATGTCCTGATTCCATGGCCCCTTTCATCTTTCACACTGAGTAACTTGGTTGAGTACTGCTAATAATTAGTAATTACCCACTTTACTTCCAACAATACTATAAAGTATGGCAAACAATAATAATCAACTCTATTAACAACAGAAGACGCTGAACCAGTTGGACTAGTTGTCTAAGGCCACACTAATACAGAAAAGTGCCAGAATCGGACAATGGAGGTTTTATAGCTTATTTCCTATACACCTCTTCACTCAAAAGTACCTGAATTATTACAACTCACAAGAAACCTAGAAGGTACCAGAGGCAAAGAATTGTATACCCCAACATTCTGATTTTATAGACAAAGAAACTGAAACCCCAAAAGTTTATGTAAGTCAGTTACTGGAAGTCATACTTCTAAGCACAGCAAAAGGTATGACATCTGATGCCTGTAATCCCAGCACTCTAAAAAGGTTGAGGCAGGAGGACTCCCAACTTCGAGCCCAGCCGGGTCAACTTAGTAATTTACATCCTGTCTTAAAAAATAAAAAAGACTGGGATGTATCTCAGTGTGAACACTCTGACTTCAACCTGCAGCACTGAAAAAACAAAAAACACAAATAGTAAAGCAAAAATTAGGATTCCTTAATCCAAGCTCAACATTTTTAGAACTAGCATTCTTCAATTCAAATTCAGTGACCTATAATTATAATTCTATCCTTATTTAAATTTCAGGGTTTATGCAAAATCCTGTTGTTTTGGTAATTCAAAAAATAATTAGCCAGTGCCTAGTAGGTGCCAGACCTTGCACCTGATGCTAAATCTGATGTAATATTTATGATCCACTTTCACATTTAATCCTCACAATACCATTCTATGGTTAAGTACAATGGTATCTGAAAAAAGAATTACAATTACCACCAAAGTTTGAAAACCAAGAGCCCTCTACATAGTGTCTAATACTGAATATACTCTAGATTTAGATATGTTATACTGGAGGTTAGAAGGCTTTTGAATATCCTTTTTTCCCCTTGTACTTTTGAAGGCTTCAGAGCAGACAGCATGTGAAGTAACCTAAAAGCTAACTGCTAGGAAAGTGATCACTTCAAATAAACAGAAGACAAGAGAGGGACTTCTATCCACCCTTTTCCCCCTCTCTTTAAAAAATGTGATAATAAAACATATTTGAAAATATAGGATAATTTTGTTACATATATATTAAACATGTATTTTTTTTTATTATTATTTTTGTCTTTTTCTTTTTTATCAGTACCGGGGATCAAACTCACGACTGCCTGCTTGCAAGGCAGGTGCTTATGCCGCTGAGCTAAATCCCCAGCCCTAAACATGTATTTTTATATACAGCCCAAGACAATTCTTCTTTACTCAATATGGCTGAGGTAAGCCATGATTGTGACTTGAAGAATATTAAATAGGGTCCAAAGAAGAATGAATTTCTCTTAGGTACTGCTCCAAAATAACACTATAAAATCGGTTACCTACTTTCACAGAGAAAATCTCTGTGGTATATGATCGAATTAATTAAAAGTTTAATTTATTGTCTTTCCCAAAAGGAATACCTTTAACTTTGATTGCTAAGTAGATTTCATAAGGTCCCATTAAAAAACCAGTGCTCAGCAGTGTAATGTATCATGGAATTTGAAAGCTTTGTAAATAAATAACAACATACTGATATTCTTAGAAGTAGCAATCACCCTCAGTCCAACCTGTAAGGAAAGAAGTACTTTAAAATACACCTGGAACATTACAGTCAGTCAGTCTGTCTATCTTTCTTTTTTTGAGACAGTCTCACTGTGTGGACCAGGCTGGCCCTGAACTCACTCTATAGCATCGGACGGTTTCAAAAATCACAGTGATCCTCCTGCCTCAGCCTCCTCAATGCTGCCATTACAAATATGTGCTACCATGCATGGCTAGAATAATTTTTTAGGGAAACATTAGCTTCATAAGTTGGCCTACTGTTTTGGGAAATATTGGTATAGGGAAAGCAAATCAACCAAGCAATCATTGAAAAAATGAATTTTCTTTCCCCTACAACAGAGTTTATAGTCTAATTCTATTTCATAAACAAGTCAGAGACTAAGAAAAAAATGGCACGCTGATAAGTAATCACAGCAGAATCAAGCACATGCACTATTTCTGATGTTAATGGTTACCTGAGAAGTCTGTCAGAAGTCTTGCTAGGACATGCTTGTTTACCAGGTCAGTCTTGCTAAGGCTGGGAATTATATCTACCCTAGTTTCTTTGAAAACAGTGGGCTTTTTAGATAGCCCAAGATCAGATCCAATCTTGACAGCTGTGTGTCCCAGAACATCATATGACCTCTGTGGCCAGGATTCTGGAGCAAATGTGAGTCTTTCTTTAGAAGGAGATTCTTCTTCCTGAGCAGCAGCTGACTTTGTGGCCTGTCTTTCTCCTAATTCTTTAAGGGCTCTGATTGTAAGCTGTTCTTGCTCTAGGTCAAAGGATGCCACTGGACCTTGGGTAGGGAAAACACCCAGAATCTTGCTTCCTCTTGTTTCCTGGCTTTGTTCAATGTATTCGCCTTTAATGTCTTTAACTTGAGAACCACCTGACTCACCCATAGAAAGAGTGTTTTTACAGTCTGTCATCTTTTCTGATACTGCTTCACAGACAGCTCCTTCCTCTCTCTCTATTGTTCTTTCCTCTCTGGTTTCTGTAATGGCTGCTATCAAGTCCTCTGGGGAAGATTCATCTATATCTTTAACATGTTTTCCATGTAATGACTCCGAATTGGCAGAAGCCTCCAGATTCAGTGAGAATTCTGCCTCATTAAAAGCATTTGGAGGCGCTGCTGAAGGAAGCTGTGGGTTGTCGGCTGTGATAAGCTTTTCAGGAGCAGCTTCACTCATAGTCCCCGGCTGCTTCCTGTCTTCCGATATAACGTCTGTGTGCGGTATCTGTGAACACACTGCTTTACCAACTGGACTTCTTCCAAGAATATCAGGCTGAACCTGAGGCATCTCAGAATCACTGACTGGCTCTTTAGAGTTTTCAGAGGTTTTATTTTCTGTCTTATAACTGGGAAGCTCTTTGATTTCCCTTTGATCTGTTTTCACAACAGCATCTGGAGTAGAGACAGGATTTCTGGCTAGAATTTTGTTAGTTTCAAATGATCTGTCTGCTGTGATGTCCTCTGTAACTGTGTCGTCAGACTCACCAGAACTATCAGCCTCTGCTACTTCTCCTAAAGCTGGGTTCTGCCAATTTATTTCATCCCGCAGGTGGTCATCAGATAAAATCACTTTCACTGCATCTGCTCCACATGGAGATCCAGGCAACTCTGAAAGCATATTACCTTGTTTCTGTGGATTTCCTTGCACACCTTTGACACTGACTTCTCTTGTGGGACTGAGACGGTCTCTTGTTTGTTTTTGAATGACAGAATTTTCTTGTGGGAGAGAATCTTTTACCCAGTTACCTGGAGACTTGCTTACAGCAGTGCTCCCATTAATAGAGCATACAGGAATTTTATAATGAGTGTTTGTTTTAAGATTTACAACTGGAATTTCTGAAGGATAGTCATTTCTGTTAAGTGCTGCACTTTTTGTGGCATAATCAGACTTTTCAGCCTGCTGTTTCACCTGGGGAACCAAATCCCAGGTCAGTATTTCATTAGTGAAGTTACGCATATCACTCACACATCGGGACACTTCTTCCAGCGCTGCAGTCGTGTGTGAGAACTGTCTAGTGAGCAATGCAGAGGTGGGGTAACGCCCTACCTCTTTACTTCGCAGTGGAAACAGTTTGTCATTCTTCTCCAACATGTCTGTAGGTGATTCTCTATCACCATGCCCTGCCCAGCCAGCCAATTCGCTTGTGCTCTCCTTCAATGAATTGCTGAATTCTCTGTCGAATGCAGCTTTGTCAGCAATTACTTCGAATGGTGATTCAGGGGACTCTTTCTCTACAGTACCACCATCTGAGACTTCAGACCAGGACAAGGAATGTGTATGAACGCCTTCTGCCTTAGACTGCTTAGCGGGCGTTTCCTGGGCTGTTAGCAAAGTGAACCCGTTACAGGCATCCAATGCAGTTTTATCCCTACATGGAACTTCATCTGGGTTCTTGGACTCTTGGTCTTTACTGACTTGCCCTTCTACTCTACCAGCCTCGTTGGAGAGAAAAGCAGAATGATCTGGGGTACTGGTTGGAGCGGAAGGGTGGCTGTAAGGAACTCCTGCTGCAGGAGAAACTGGAGTGTCTGCTCTGTCCTGACTGGTCCCCTGGAGCTTTTCCATCTTGTTGGTATCTAGAAGAGCCAAGGGGTCTTCTCCTTCTTGGGATATAACAGACTGGCTGCCTAACACTTCACTTTTTTCCCCATGGAGTGCTGTAAGGTCAGGGTTATGTATTTCAGAAGATGAAAGAAAGGAGAAAGTCATAATTTCTGAAGGTGGCTCATCAGAGCAGAGAGAGTTCAATTCCTCTATGGTCAGAATGTGAAAGAAAAAAATTATTTACCAGGCACAATTATACATTAGCTAGTCAGGCCAAGCTGCATGCTTTTTTATTTTAAAATTAGACACACAGTTTATACACATGTATGTATATATGCATACACACATATACACATATACACACAAATATGTAACAAAACAGTGATGGACAATTATATCTAAAGACATGCATAAAATTGCTAACAGTGAAACAAAGAGAAAAGCTGTAACATGCTACAAATTGCAAATGACAAAAGTTTTCATGACAAATATTTTTTAATCAGTCTACTACTTTTTTTTTTTTTTTTTTAATCGGTACCAGGGATCGAACTCACGACTGCCTGCTTGCAAGGCAGGTGCTTATGCCACTGAGCTAAATCCCCAGCCCCTAGTCTACTACTTTTTCCACTTCAAAAGACATACAGAGTTAGTGTTGGGAAATTTCAGGAAGTGTTTTTCTTTCTTTGGCTGGAAAACAGAAAAAATAATTCATATAAAAAGTAACTTGGTACGATAAAGCACAGATAAACTTTCATCTTCAAGCTAAACAACTCAGAATACACAATCTCTATACATCCACTGCTACGGTCTCACAATCTGAGAAGAGAAAAAGTGGCCAGAACTTCTTTTGCCTGAGAATGAGACTATTCCATCCACAGGAAGACCCATCATGTATTCAGATGGCTTCCATGTTCTAAAATAAAGGGTACCAAAAAGGCTGGCGTGGTTCTATTTCTCCTGTACCAAACTTGCCATTTGAATTCAAACTGACTGGTCGAATTAGTTTCTTTGGCTAAGACAGAGCTGACTTCAGAATTTCTTTTAAAGCAGATATAATGCATTAAGTCTTAGTTATTAATACCACTGTAATCATTAACTTAATACATTATTTTCTACCTTTCCAATCTAACAAGCTTTAATTAGGGTAAAAAAAAATCAAATAATCCTCCAAAGGGATTTTTATCTTTGGAAATGGAACAAAGTGATTCTTTTAAATAGTTCTAAATAAATGAACCAAAGATTCAGCTTGGTCAGGTGAGTTGTACCTAAGCAGGCTCAGGATAGCAAACTTTTGAGTTTTAATGAGTAATTAGGGAGTTGTGAGTGAGAAGTTCTTTTGGGATTAACTTTATGTTCTCTTTTTTGTGTGAGAAAAATAAAAGCAAACTTAGGCCATTCATATTTATTTCATTAAAGATGAAAGTAGATAAGAATAAATAAAATTCCACTACTAAAACTTTTTAAGTGCCACATAAGGTTCCCTGATTTTGACATCATCAAAAAAAATTTTTTTTCTTTTTCTTTTTTTCCAGTACTGGGGATCGAACTCATGACCGCCTGCTTGCAAGGCAGGTGCTTATGCCGCTGAGCTAAATCCCCAGCCCCCTACATCATCAAAATTTGATATAATAAGATCTGTGCTTCAGAATAGTAAAACTGTAATCTGAGTATGGGGGCAAAGTCTCTACAAATGAAAAGTTCTAGAAGTTTGGTTGTATTACTGGAACAGAAGACATATGAAATAAGCTTTAACTTATATTTAGTTCTAACAGTAAACTTGATTTGTATCTTAGTATTTGAGATACTCAGCATGAGTATAAGATAAATAAAACCCAGCATTTAAAAGGTTAAAGAACCCAATGTTTTACATATCATAGGCTACATTTATATCAGAACTATACCAAAATCTGGGTTATCTTTATCATCTACTAAAAAATATTCAATGGACTAAATCTGGATTAGAGTAAAAACTGTCTGGGAAACTCTCCCTTCAAAAAGATATAAATGTCAGAGGTTCAGACCTGTCATCTTACAGATTAAGGCTGGCACTGTGAATCAGCTATAATTCAAAAAACATTTACTGAGGTTAAAGCAGTGAGTAAAACAAAACAAACCTTTCTTGCCTTTCTGGAGTGTACAGTATAGTAGAGGAGAGAGAAATAAGCAAAATTATTATTATTATTTTTTTCCTGGTACCAGGGATTGAACTCATGACTATGCGCTTGCAAGGCAGGCGCTTATGCCGCTGAGCTAAATCCCCAGCCCCCAATAAGCAAAATTATTAAGCAAAATGATGATGATAATGGTAATGCTCCCTGAAATGAAAAAGAAAACTAACCAAGTGAGCATGGTGGTATAATCTCAGCTGTTCAGGAGACTGAGGAAGGATGATGGCAAATTCAAAATCCAACCAGGGCAATTTAGCAAAATACAAACAAACAAACCAACAAACAGAATGTGAATGTAGTTCAGTATTAGGGCACTTGCTTAGCATGGGTGAGGCCCTGAGTCCAATCTCCATTACAAACAAAAATGAAAACAAAAACCAAAAAACAAAACAAAACAAAAAAACCCCACAAAAAACAAGGAAAAAGCAAAGTAAATTCAATGCTAACCAAGGGATGTACACACTACTAGAAAAATAAAAAAGCATGGTAAAACGTGATTTGGCAGGACACAAACTTGTCAGTTTAACAAGCTTTGCTTTTCTCCTATCTTGAATTCCTAGCACTCAAAAACCACTGAATTAGCTGTAGAACAATCTAAAGTAAAATGACCAAGTTAGAAATCCTGATCTCAGAATAACAACTTTACTGAGTGCCATGACTGCCTGACAGACTTCACTTTGCTAAAGTTTCTTTAAGATGATGTAACTAGAATATATACAAAAATAATTTTAATCTTGTTGCCTCGTGATAATTTCCTAACTTACTCTGTTTCTTTTTTTTTTTTTTTTTTTTTTTTGTCTTTTTCGTTTTTATCGGTACCGGGGACCGAACTCACGACTGCCTGCTTGCAAGGCAGGTGCTTATGCCGCTGAGCTAAATCCCCAGCCCCCTTACTCTGTTTCTTGAGGGCAATCCTGGAGGGTAAACACAGCGGGATGTTGCATGTGTTCCTCGGTGGCTGTAAGATGCAGATGGTGGCTCTCCCTTATTGTCAAAAAGACTTTCCCACACTCAGCCAAAGAAGATACCATCTTTATCTGTGCTTTCACTTTAATGATTTTGTTTAGAATTTCAACACATGAAAAGAAATTCCTTTGGCTAGCTGAAACTCTAACAAACTTGAACAGAGCTGACTTGTACCAAGACAATGGAAAAAACTGGGCTGGAAGTAAAACGTTTACAAACTCATGAAAACAATAAACAGAGAAAAGAGTAGAATCCAATAAACCTTTCAAAATAGCTCTTATAATTGAACTCTTCAATTAGTTGGTACAGCACTTAATAGTCACTGGTATCTAAACTGTACAAGGCAAAACAGCAGAGAACTCTACAGAATCTGAGGGTGTGAGTTTTAAAATACTACCCAGCCATTGCTGGGTGTGGTGGTGCACACCTGAAATCCCAGCACTTGAGAGGCTGAGGCAGGTGGATAGCCAGGAAGGAGTTCAAGGCCAGCCAGGGAGGTTCACAGCGAGTTCAAAGCTAGCCTGAATTATACAGCAAGACCCTGTCTCAAAAAACCAAATACAAGGGTTGGGGATTTAGCTCAGCAGCGTAAGTGCCTGCCGTGCAAGTCGTAAGTTCGTCCCCCGGTACTGCTAAAAAACAAAACAAAACAAAACAAAACAAAACAAAACAAAAAAAAACCACAAATACAACTGACTAATGACTAACTATACATACCATGCAACTTCCATGTAGAGTAATTTTGGACTTTACATCTCAGATGTGTACTAGCTTTTCCTTTCCAAAATATCCACCGTTTAAAGTGTTAAGTACATGTACCAACTCAACACGATGGATGTAATCTTTATGTACTGCAACTAAGCACTACTACATTTTTAAAAATCCAGCATTTCACACTGAAATCTCCACTTTAAAAAAACTCGTTATTGCCCATTTACTCGTCTGCTTCTATCCATTCTGCCTTCCCATCTCATTATGTACCTTTTCTAAATGAGTTGTTTAGGACAAGATTTAACACCTGTGTCCCCTTTTTTGGTGGTGGTGGTAGTGGCACTGGGGGCTGAATTCGGGTCTTCCCAGTGAGCTGCATCCTCAGCCCTTTCTTACTTGCAACAGTATCTCCTTAAATTGCTAAATTCCTCAGGCTGGGCTTGAATTTATGATCTTCATGCATCAGTCTCCAACAGTGCGATTATAAGGTACAGCACCAAGCCTGGTCTTTACTCATTTTGAAAAGTTCTAAGCACAGGGCTGGGGATTTAGCTCAGTGGCATAAGTGCCACTTGATCCCCAGTACCGCAAAAAAAAAAAGTTCTAAGCACATAAAAAACATATAACTCCATTAACAAAATAAGATTATACATCTATTAATTTTTAGTCACATTTTATTTTCTTTTTGGTAACAGGGATCAAACTCACGACCTCACGCTTGCCAGGCAGGTGCTTATATCATTGCGCTAAATCCCCAGCCCTCTGTCATATATTAAATTTTGACATTTTCCAAGTAAAAGATCCTATTAAAAGATGCAAAGTCCTTTTACCACACTTAATAATTGTACTGCATTTAGCAAGTTGCTCAATCTCACCCAAAAAGACGGAGATTTTGGGGGGCTGGGGATTTAGCTCAGCGGCATAAGCGCCTGCCTTGCAGGCAGTGTGAGTTCGATCCCTGGTACCGATAAAAACGAAAAAAAAAAGACAAAAAAAAAAACAAAACAAAAACCAAAAACCAAAACCGCCTCTGGCACAAACTTTGACAATCCCTTTCAACTTTTAGGGCAACAACTAGTATTTTATGGGCTCTATCTCTGACTTGCAGTCTCTAAGGACAGAGCTCAAGAAATCTGTATCACAAGTTTCTCAAGCCACTACCCGTTACTTAGTTTTAGAAGAGTAGAAAAAACAAGAGGTGCACTTCAGAGCTCAGTCCTATGAACACCCCAGAGGAGACGGGCCACTCTTCACTGCAGATTGTCAGCACACAGCACAGCTAAGGGCTAAGAGGTCACAGGCAGGGCTTCGTGCCTGCTTGGAGCACAGCACTCCTGCGGGTCTGAGGATGGATATTTGGTACG